ATGGGACGTTAAAAATAAAACAATATGTAGCAAACATTTTTTACTAGAGGATTTTGAAGACCAGATACAAGCGAGAATTTTAGAAACAAATCCTAAAAAGCTGAAAAGTGATGGTAAGAATTTTGTAAAAAGTGTAATTATGTTCATTTATTTGCTAACATTATTTTAATGCATTCTTACCCATAATTTTTCTTTCAGCAATTCCTTCATTATTATTGTGCCCAAATCATTCCCTGGAAAATCCCAATAAATTGGAAAGATCTATCCGTATGAAACAAAAAGAAAATAAATACCTTGTTGCAGATCTTCTTAATGAACGTTCAAATATTAACAGTACTGTCACTGAAATACCACTTTGTATTAAAGAGGCAGATACTGATATCTGGAAACAAAAATATGAGTCACTGGAAGCTGAAGCATTGATAATGAAAGAGAAAATTGCTGTTTTGGAAACTAAAAACAAGGATTTAGAAATGAAAAACAAAAATTTAGAAGAAATTATTTCTAAATTAGAACAAGAAATAAAAAAATGCAACCTTAAATTTGAAGATCAAGTTAAAGAAGCATTTAAACATTTTTTAACTGTGCACCAAATTGAAATTGTCTTGAAAAAAAGTGTAAAACACGCTGGACCCAAGATGAGCTGTCAAAAGCATTTACTTTAAGATATTTCAGCAAACGATCCTATTGTTACTTAAAACAAACTCTAAATTATTATTTGCCAGGGCTTTCCACATTGCAACAATGGGCTGCCAATATTAACTTAAGAAAAGGTGTTTTAGATGACGTTTTAAAAGTAATGAGCATGACAGGAAAAATACAAACATGTAGCTATCGAGCAACGGTATTATCATTTGATGAATTAAAGGTATGCTCAACTTTTGAATATCATAAAAAGGATAATGAAATAATAGGACCTCATAACTATATGCAAGTTATCATGGCTAGAGGCTTATTTGACAAGTGGAAACAGCCTATTTACATTGGCTTCGATAAGAAAATGACAAAAGAAATACTAGAAAATGTAATAACTCGGTTACATGAAATTACTTATCAAGTAGTCGCCTGTGTTTCAGATTGTGGCACAGGGAATCAAAGATTATGGAGGTCTTTAGGTATATCTATGGAGCATACACACATAAAACATCCTGTAAATCAAAATCCTATTTATTTCTTCGCAGATGCGCCCCATTTATTAAAGTTGATCAGAAACTGGTTTGTGGACACTGGTTTTATTTTAAAGGATAATGTTGTAATAAAAAAGGATTCAGTACAGAAATTAATTGATATAACCAGAAGTGAAATTAATTCCTGTTTTAAGTTAACAACACTTCATATTCAATGTGAGAAGACGCAAAGGCAAAATGTCAAATTGGCTGCACAGTTATTTTCCAATACAACTGCTACGGCCTTAAAATATTATTTACCGGGAGATAATAAAATAGCTGCAAAAAACTTGGGAGATTTTTTTTGAACTTGTCAGTAACTGGTTCGATATTATGAACTCTTTTATCCCATCTGCATCAGTCCCTTCCAAAAAGCCATATGGAATGAATTTAGATATTCAGAACGAAGAACTTCACAAAATGTTGTCAACAATAGAGAGTATGTTATGTATTGGCAAACAGGGAATACAAGTTTTTCAGAAAGCAATAATCATGTCAATTAAATCATTGATTGCCCTATTACCTGATATGAAAGAACAATATGGCATCAGCTACCTGTTGACTGCTAGGTTAAATCAGGATTGTCTAGAAAATTTTTTTTCACAAGTAAGTATTAACGTAACTAAATAAGCTTTAAAATAAAACTTGTTATTTGATTCATTTAACATTGCAGTTTTTTGCTTTATAAGTTTACGAAGAAAATCGTCTTTTTTAGATTAGAACTCGAGGAGGTCTTCACGATCACCCTTCGCCTCCTAATGCCATCTATCGAATGATTCTCTTAGGAAAAAATCCAGGACTTGTCATAAAACATTCTAATGTTGCTTACTGTCTAGATGAAGATGAATATCTATTAGCCAATGCAATAAAGCAGGCAAAACTTGGCAGTATTAATGTTGAACAAATCTCGCAGTCAGATCCAGTATTTGAAACTAGACATGACCCAGTAGACGCAGAAAGTTTATCGTTAGCTAGTAGCAGCTTAAGTTCACCCTTACAGTCAGTTAGTTCTGAATCGGAAAAAGATGGATTGGCTTAGATTGCTGGATATTTAGCGAAGAAATATAAGGATAGATATCCTAATTTGGGAAAATATACATATCAAGCTGAGCAAACTACTTTTCACAGTTATAGTCGGTATCCATCATGGATTCAAAGTTTATCATTTGGTAGTTTAATTGAACCATCAGATGACTGGCTTGCAAATGTTATAAACATGGACAAATACTTTAATAAAATGCATAAAGAGAAGTTTAATGAAACATCTGAAATTTTGAAAAAGACAACAGAGTATGTTTCCAAAAACGTTGATACCATTCCAAAAGATTTGGTTAAGTCTTTTTGCCAGCAGATAATATTTATTAGAATAAAATTTTTAAACGAAAGACGGGAAGAACAAAAAGCAGTAAAAAGAAAATCTGCTAGTGAAACTGGAAGAAAAGTTGTTAAAAAAATGAGAAAAATTATAAACTAGTATTTTATTCATTTGTAATAACATTACTTATATTTTTTAATTAGTTGTAACAATAATAGGAATTAATGTAGTAAATTATATTAAATACAGTTTATTTACTACTTATTCATATAATATACTTATAATATTCATACAATTACATATAGTACACTATTAAATTGAACAATTAAGTGCGAAGTTTTGTAATGTCCGTATACTAAATGAATTAAAAAATATAGGATGAGTCTGTTTTATTACCATTAATATATCTATAACCCCAAAATTTTACATTTAAATATTAAAACTTTCATTGAACACAAAGAAAAACTATCAAGTCATCGAACAAAATATTTAATTGAAACACAAGGTATCTCTATATCATACATTTATTATACCATTATTTTACCAAAAAGTTAAGTTTCCAAATTATCTCACAATTCTTGCATATTTAGTCATTCTTACATAAAAAGAACCAACTATGTCGTACATATAATGAGTGTATAAAATTTAAACGTTTCAATCTGATGACGTATTCGCGCCAGTGTAATGCTTGTATCTGATTGGTTTAGAAATACCAGGCAACCTACTCCTCCATTGACCTTGAATAAAACCACATATTGTACTTATTGCGTTTTACTTTACCTACACCTAGTATCTCTCAGCTACCTACTTTGGTTTTAAATAGTTTTAGGACTAATTCATACTTTTATCGTTTATCATTATACTTTCTAGCACACCCACTGTAATAACAACGGAGTAGAAGTTCCAACAGACCTTTACTTCTGGTGCCCATTCTTTTTTTTATTAACTTCTTTCCTCTTTAGTGATCTTCGATTTTTATGTGTTGTTATTTATCATCATCTATTTTCTTCTAACACGGCACAAAAATGCAGCCGATCTCCATTCCCTGAATATTTACGTTTCATCCTCTTTTTGTTCTATATCTCTCTCTCATCGTCTTTTTGTTCTCTGTTTTTGTTTTTTTTTTCTTTCGCCAATCCAGTCTTCTATCATCTTTATTACTAAAAAAATAACCTTATAACCCCCTAGTTATACGGTTATAAAGTAGGTCAAGTACTTTTGTCCTATCTGTGGGAATAGAAGTAGAAAATATGTTGGTTTCCTTGTAATTGATATCCTAAGTTATAAGAATTAATAGTTGTAAGAAGTTGTCTGCGTGTCAGTGTGTTCAGTAGCAAGTAATAATTTTGTTTTTGTGTGTACATTAGTGTTTTTAAAATTCATTTATCATTATTCAATGTTTTTATTTTAGGTAAAATAGATTAATGAACCGCAGAAATATCGCAAATTCATTGGACAGAGAAAATATAAATGAAAATGATGTTGTTGATGTAGATGAGGAGATTAAGTTTGCCCTAGAAATACAGCCAGTCAGACAGACAATTGATGCAGCAAATCATATGATAATACATTTACTTGTATTAGATACATTAATAATTCAAACAGATATTAACACAAAAAAAAGTTATTATTTGTGCAAGACAACGGGATGATAAGTGTTGTGGTACAAATAGTAAAATGGGTGACAAATCAGTGAATACTGAAAATATGTTGTTTCAAGGATATAATTCTATTTCAAATAAAGAACAATTATTAAATCTTACTGGAACAACATATCGATACCAATATTCTAATAGGTCGTAAAAAAACAGCTTATTTTTATTTTTCGAATAGGACGTATACCACAGTCACCCGCTTAGATTTCTTAAGGTGAGTGTTGACCGTTACAGTGTGTTGCATTATAATAATCAAAAACTGTATTTAAAGTGTATGTTATTTCAAGATGTCGAAGGTAAGTTACATTTTGTTGTATATTATTTTTATTAAGCATGTTAATTTGTTTACAATTTAAAATTAAAGTAAAAGTGTTTACCTTTGAAATAATGAGGTTATCTATGCCATATTGGAATTTCAAATAATATGTTGGATACGACATATTTCTAAAACTATTGGACTGCTTATTTTGACGCAGAACTCAAGTTTATGTTGTGAGTTACGTCGTATTATAACAGGTAGATTTATTATTCATGCATAATTTATTTACAATATCATTTTATTTACCTTTTCGTAATCGCTACAAGTAGCAAAAAATAAACGGTTCAGATTCAGAAGTGTATTTTTAACAATTAAAAAGATAAGTTTATTATTACCTTTTGTCTACCTCTGTATTTTTATTATAAATTATAAATAATGCCAAAAGAAAGTTTTAAAAATTTACTTAGTTCGAATTTTTAATAGAATAATGTTGACTGACTAAATCTATGGATATTACTATGGAGTTTGTGATAGGCAGGTATATTAGCATTTTATTGATACAGGTTATTTTTTCAGATCTCTAGTAGAGTAGAAAAATGATCAAAATGGCTTTAAATGAAACAGCTCATGAAGCAGCAAATGTACCCGATTTGATCACTTCAGGAATAAATGTTAATGATATGATGTACCATATACCTTACGAATTTGAAGTCATTAACGAAGATGTAAACAACTACTTTCAAGATCCCTTTGATAATCAGGGTATTAACGTTAAGTCGCTTTCCTTTGAAGTAAGATATGAATCTCTGCCAACGGTTAACTTAAATAATGCCAGTGAATTATTATCTGAAAGTAGTGTGTTTCTAGTAGATGTAGAAAAAGAACAGATTCAAAAAGTATATTTGCCAGAACAAGGGAACAAACATGTAGATGACACTTACTAAGCTTAAGAAGTAACTCCCGCAGAGAACGAATCAGATAAATATAATAACCTATCTTTGATACAACTTAAAGATAAGATTATTTTAAAACATGAAAATTTAAGAGCTTAAAGATAATTCTGATCCTAGGTTTATACCATCTCAAAAAGAAGCGTATCAACAAGACGACTCGGAATACTCAGATGAAGAACAAAATAAAAACAATCCAGGTTAGTACAGTCCAATGGTAAAATATACCATCAATAAAATACTCAAAACCTAAATTTATTTCAATATACATTTTGTTACAGATACGAGAACAGCTAAAAAGAAAAGGAAGAAAAAAACCAATAGTGAATTATGGGATAAAAACGTTAACAAAAGAAAAAGAATGATGGGAGAAGAGTACGTTGGATACACAAGGTCTAAAGATGGGACAGTTAAAGATGATACAAAAAGAAACAAAAGAATGCTCTTACCTAAATGTAATTCAGTTTTTTTTAAAGCCGCAAATCGTTTTTGCCAAATACTGTCCGAAGAAAACCGACAAACTATTTTTGAGAAATTTTGTAGAATATCCTGGGAACAGAAAAGGTTAGATGTTTTGCACATGAACAACTACACTGAAAAAACAGAAGCTACACAAAAAATCAATCCAGGAGAAAGGGATCATTTCAATACTATTTACTAATTGATGACGGGAAACACCAGGTGTGCTGCAAACAAACATTTCTTGGTACTTTAGATATAAAAGAACGTATAGTTAGGCGCTGGCTCATTGAAAGATCTGTGTTTGGAACACAAAGTAGTCAGGACGACAAAAACAAAAATAGGACTAAGAAAAAAGTCAGAACATTCAGTGGAACAAAGTAGAAAGCTAGAAGAGCTTTCCGCCTATTTCTAGATAGTTTGCCCAAAATTGAAAGCCACTACTGCCGCAAAAATTCAAACAAATTATATCTAGAGGAAGATTTCAAATCAAAAACCGACATATTTCAACTATATAAAAATAAATATTTAGACGTAGGTATTCTACTCTTGTCAATCAGTACTTTCCTAAAAGAGTTTGATGAAACTAATCTTGTACTATTCAAGCCTAGAAAGGATCAATTATGATTCTTTAAAGGATTATGATGTGGATACAAAATGCAACAAATTGAAGAAATTGTCTACCAAAATCATATTTTAGCAAAAGACCTTGCTCGTAAAGAAAAAGATTTGGACAAGAACAATGCTCAAGACCAGGCTATTTATTGTTTTAAAATGGACGTGCAGGCCGTCAAATTGTGTCCTCAATTAAAAGCCAGCTCATTGTATTACAAAACGAAATTGCAGGTATACAATTTTATCATCTATAACTTGTCAACTCATGCATGCAATAATTTTTTATAAAATGAAACAGAAGGAGAACTGTTGTTCAGTTTTTGTAACCTGCATCATTAAACATCTGGTATCAGCTTTGGAGATAGACAGGAAACCTATAGTTTTATACTCAGACAGTTGCGGTTATCAAAATAAAAATGTCATTCTGTTAAATGCATTGTCCATTCTTGCAACACAATTTGATATTTAGATTGAACAGAAGTTTCTTGAGAAGGGCCACACTCAAATGGAGTGTGACTCTTCTCATAGTCTTATTGAGAGGCCATTAAAGGGAAAATATATTTTTCTACCGACAGACTACATAAATATTATAAAAGACGCCAGGAAAAAACCAATGCCTCTGGAAGTAGAATATTTATTCTACTTCCGAATCCGGGATCATTCGTACTTTCTTAATTTTGATAACCCGAACTTGATGAGATATAACTCAATTCGACCGGGAAAATTAAACAGTCCGTTAAAGGTGGCGGACTTAAAATGCCTAAAATATTTACTTTCTGGAGAAATTTTGTATAAAACTAAATACTACGACCCTTATGAAACATTACCACAAAGACAAAAAACAAATATTCTGGATGAATACCTACCCAAGTCACTATACAGCAAAAGGCACACATTACTTGTATGACTTGTATGACCCAAATTTTACGAAAAAACAGAAGAATCAAACAAGAAGAAAAGAAACACAGAAATACAATTGTGATTAAAATAAATAATAAGAACACGAATAATTAGCGTCCTGTTTGGCAAACATTATTTACAATTTACATTATTATTCAAATATGTATTAAAAGTTTTTTAATTTCCAATTATTAATTTAAAAAAGAAAATAATTAATAAAAAATATAATAAATTATTTTAATAATCATTGTGCAATTTGTCTTAACCCACAATAGTTATCATGCTAATATGACACTTAAAAAAATATGTCATATCCAATAAGTTATATAATTACAATCCGACGTAACCCACTTATTGCCATCATTTATTAAAATAAGTAACAAAAATATCCACGTAATCAACAAACATATTAAAAAAAAATTGTTGTTAAAAAAACTAAGCTCTATCGAATACTTAAAAAAATATACGTTTTTTCACCTCCTGTAAAATTTTATATTTGTGGGATGCGTGCTATTAGAATATGTATCGATATGAAACTTTTAATGTTTTATTAAAAAGAATGCCAAGTGTCAAATGTCGCAAAGTTCAACTTTATAACAGACTAGTAATCTTTTAAATGATAATAAAGACTGGTCTAACTTCTTTAGCAATAGGAGTACTGTTTTCTTTGCATAGGACTACTGTCAGTGATATATTTTTTTTCAACATTGGGGGCTATGATGTATCATTTACCTAAATAATTACATACTAGTGTAAAATTCAGAAAACGTACATTAGATTACACTTCTCAAAACATAATGTGTAAAAACGGTATGATGTATCATGCCCTGCGTTGCTATGCGTAAAATGACCAAGCCACAGCAGAAAATTACCTAAAAGGTTACTTTCGGGTCTGTCATATCCTGAAGATCTGTCAACTAATTCAAATTAACCTAACTTTTCGTTCACGGCTTCGTGTTTGTTTTGTTTATTTTTGAAAAATGGATTTTGTGAATTTATTATTACTCAACGAATTGAACGATGTGGCAGAGAGAAATAATGTAAATGTAGAACGGCGACAGTTACGGGATACCAGTAACCCATTTGAAATGGATAACCAGCTTTTTATTAAGTATTTTAGGGTGTCCAAAAACATTGCAAGGTATGTTGTAGAGACTTTACGACCTGTAATTGCTGAAGGACAAAGGGCTAGCAAAATTGCTATAGAATTAAAGGTTCTTTCAGTACTCAACTTTCTAGGAAATGGAAGTTATCAAAAATGTACAAGTAACAACCTCTTATTTCCAATGGAACAGAGTACCTTCAGTAAAGTTTTAACAGAAATAAGTGCAGGGATAGTGGAACACTTGATGCCACATCAAATAAAATTTCCACAAAATGCAATCAACATGGACCAAAATAAAAGAAATTTTAGAATGCTTGGTGGACTGAATGGTTTAATTGGGGCTATTGATTGCACACATGTTGCAATAATAGCACCTTCTGCTGATGATTCAATCAGACCTGGTCTGGCATATTTTAATAGAAAAGGGTTTTATGGTATTAATGTGCAAGCAATATGTGATGCGAATTTAACATTTTTAAATTGTAATCCTCGCTTCCCAGGTTCCACACATGACTCAGGGATTTGGGAGTTAAGTGATGTAAGACGATTTTTAGAAAGACAATTTATAACAAACCAACTGAATAACGCCTATTTAGTTGGAGATTCAGGTTATCCGTTGCAACCATGGCTATTGACTCCTGTTGCAAATGCTGCAGAAAATACACCAGAAGGCAGATTTAATCATGCTCATATTGCAACCAGGAATATAATTGAGAAAGCATTTGGAATTTTGAAATCCCGCTTTCGATGTTTGCACAAGTACAGAGTTTTGCATTATAGCCCTGTTAAAGCTGCAAACATCATATATTCCTGTGTTGTATTACATGACATGGTTATGAAAGAACGGCTCCCACCTGTAGATATCGAAGAAGATGAAGTACAGCAGCCTGTAATTCCAATAGGAATATTTCAAAATGTTATTGCTACAAACTTTGTATAGTGAAACAAAAACGTAGTTAATATTTTTATAATTTATTTATTTCATAATTTTATTATATATATACATATATATATATATATATAATATATATAATATATATATATATATATTATATTATATATATATATATATATATGATATAGTATAAAAATGTTTATTTACAGTTTATTTTATAATTGAAATAATCAATAAAAATATACATATATACATACATACACACATATATATATATTTAGAAGAATTATTTCGCGCAGCAGCCGACAGAGAAAGGTTTCAGGAAATTGTAAGCATGATGACGGCCAACGTCTGAATACGGACACGGCACCCAAAGAAGAAGAAGATATATATATATATACATATATATACATATATATACATATATACATATTTATATATATACATCCCGCCATCATTTTAAACTCGTTTCACGTTGCAGTAATTTAGCATCACCAAGAAAATCTATTATTTTCTATATATAAGTCGTGTATGTTCGTTTAGTGCACCTCTGTTGGCTTAGCAGCGTTGTCGGTTTTTCAATATTCTGATTTTTTTATATATTTAATTTTTTACATCAATCCTACGTTTTAACATCGATCATTTAAAATCACTGTATTTGCTATCATTTTAAAGCCAATAGATGTTGCCGGTATTAATACTTAAAATAATATCTAGGTATATAAATATCGATCCGTTTTCGGTCAACCTGCCAACGACCTGCTAACAAGTTGCGGTCTTAACTGGTTTTTTCTTTGTCATTAGGTATATTTATTTAAGGTAGATATTTTTCCCAGAGAAATGTGTAGGGGAATATTTTACATAAATTTCAATTTACAACCTGTTTAATCCAAGCTATCGGTGAATAGTTTGAGGTAAATATTATGTTTTTATGGGATTACGCCTCAATTATTGGTTGTAATTGTGATAAGAATCACATTTTTAATTAACTTGTGTTTGACATTTTGATTTCCATTCCGGAAATCGTTCTCAAAAACGTTTTTTTTTTGTACAAAATGTGTATACACATTTTAGATAATTTGTACAATAAACAATAAATATTAGTTAATTAAAAGTGTAATTAATATTACATTTTTATATACATAATATACATAAAAAAATAATATTTAACTTAACCATGCAACAAGAAAGTATTTCACAGAACCTCGGTAAATAGTTTTGAAAAATCTACGGTTATTTAAATTCTAAATAGTATGATAGTTGATGAAAAATAGATGTACAGTTGATTATGCTTTGTTCTTTTTTTTTAACAATCTTAAAAGATACAAAAAAAAATGTTTTGTATCTTTAAAACGTGCTTGTAAAACGTTTTTTTACATTCTAAAGAAAAATGATTCAAATAAAAGTTGTAGACCATAAAAGGTTTTTTTTATGTTGAGGGATACCAAATTAAAATATATAATTAATTGAGCGAGGTAATT